CCCTATCTCTCACACACACACACACACACACACACACACACACACACACACACGGAGTTTCTCAGCCATGTATGGAGCTGAAAACACTCCCAGATAATGATTCAGTGCAGACGGCAGGAGATAATGAGATTCTGTGCGCATCTCCCACTCGCTTTGTTTCCTGGCGCTCTCCGTTGCAGTCTATTTTCATATCTTTCCATCGCTCTCATTTACATGTCTCTCTTTAAGTTTGCTGTCTCCCACACACCAGCTGTCTGTCTTTCTCCCAGCCTGCATTCCCAGTCTCTGCTCCTCCTGTTCATTTTTTATTTTCTAAGACAGACCAATGAAATGGACAATATCTAACAACATGTAAACTAGGGAATTTTTATTGATATTTGTTAAATTGATATTTATAAATCTATTTAAAATTCTGAATTAGTTTTTTTTTTATAAGCGATTTATATAATAACAAACATAAATAACTGTTTTAAAACTTTTTTTATTCATGATATTTTACAATATAACATTTTAATAAATATATATTTATAAGAATGTATTTTTAGTTTTATAAAAATATTAATAATTGTTTAATGGTCAATTTTAATATTTACAATTACATTTTTGTGATATGGTTTTTCTAAAATGATGTACAAAACTGAATAAATGAATAATATGAATGATAAAAAGCTATTTATTGATGATGATGATGATGATGATGAAACCTATATATATATATATATATATATATATATAAAATTATGTAGAATTCGGAATATTTTATTCTGCACCCTAGATGTGCATAAGCGCTGCAACTCCATGTTGCTTCAAGCACATCATTCTGCACCCTAGATGTGCATAAGCGCTGCAACTCCATGTTGCTTCAAGCACATCATTCTGCACCCTAGATGTGCATAAAAGCGGTGTGCCGCTCTGTTTGAAGCGTTTCACATTACCAAAGTTTTGCACACAGAAAGATTATTAGAAGCTTTTATTTTTCTCTTGATTTCTATCTTATTTTCATGAATGTATTTTGTAAGAATACAAATAGTTAACAGAATAAACATGTTTAAATTGTATAATGTGCACCAAAGATATTTTTCAAGATACTGTTTTTGCTGCTAAATTATACAGTCAGCTAGTTTAATTTCATAGCTTATATATTTTTATTCAAAAGTAGTTTTTCTCTGTAATGAGGAAGTGAGTATTTAGTGGATTATGTTTAACAAGGGGTTTAAAAAAAGAGTGACCATTAGTTCCACAAACACAGTATTGGTATTCTGTAGTGGTGTAGAAAAAAAAAATAGCGCAGGTGTTGGATCGGTATTGGCCGATTCTTAGAATTTGGAATTCTTACACTGCAAAATAATAACTAAAAAAAAAAAAGATTAAAAAATAACATCATAATTATTTACTGAACCCTTAAAACAATTATATAATGAAAGCCATAAAAAACAGACAAGTAATCGTGATGGTCAGCATAATCGTCAAAGCCCTAAAACAGACAATTAATCGCAATAACTGTGACTATTTTTAGACAATTAATTGACAGCCCTAAATATGAAGAATTTAAACACATTTACAAAATGAAACAATCTATCCATGAAAGAGGAAAACTTAAAGAAAACATCTTGCCTTATAAGTGCAAGTAAAAGTTGTAAAGTTAGTTTATAGAGTTGATAATATTTATTGCGTCAGAGATGTGTCACTTTGCTTGAAGCTGATTGGTCAAATTTCAGTTTGAGATCTCTAAACCAGAACATAACCTGCCCCAGAGCAGGTTAGCTGTGGAGTGTAAGTTACTAAGGCAATGAATGCAGCTAAAAGCCAAGCCACTTTCATGGTACCTAAAGCCCAGGATTGGTGCTAACTAAACTGAAACTTACCTGGCTAGCCAGCTAATCAGGCTTCATGGTACAGGCCCCAGCTGATTGATTTTCACATAATGGATTCATAAGCTAATGGAAGTGTGTAGTTTGAGTGTGGCTCAGTGTCTCTTCTCTCTGTGTGTCCAGACTCAGTCGCTTCACTAGCATGGCGTCTAGACAGGAGACGACGGAGGCCGAATCCCAGGAGCAGTCTGACGGTAAACCTTTGGAGAACAAGACGCCCAACCAGTCTCTGGACGGCGTCAGCGTTCACAAACCCCCCCGCGCGGATGTGATGCGCGCCGCTTCCGCCTCGCTGCAGGAGAAGCTGGAACCGGCCCTGGACCCCTCCTGCCTCCCGCCACCCGACCCGTCTCTGCAGGCTGGGAGCGGCAGCGTGAACGGGGCCGTGGAGCAGCCTGGGGGCCCGGCGTGCCTCAGGGACGGACGCTGGTTCCAGAAGCTTTTGCAGGCCGAGACGGACCGCATGGAGGCCTGGTGTCAGCAGATGGACCAGGAGACCAAAGACAAACAGCTGTCAGAGGACGGTGAGACACTCACATACAAATAAATTACCATTGCTGCGTCTCAATGTGCCTACTTATACTACGCTCTTAAAGTATGTACTCTTTTGGTGAAGAAAAAGTACACACTTTTGAGTGTGTAGTAGAAGAGTAGGCAAGCTTTGGGACATACTATCACATCACACAACTTTAACGGACGCTCTGTCACATAATTACATGCATCCTGTCACTGTAAACTGGCCTGTCAATCATCGTCACAGTTTCCACATTGCATTTCATTTAACTTCCTACCGTACTGGAGAGAAAAGAAGTAGCTCGTTGATCTGCCAGTCGCGGGTCTTTCATGCCGAGAACTCTGCTCATATTTTATGCTAGTATAAAATTAGTTAATGTAGTTAACATGGTTAACAACCAAACGGATGTTTATAAAAGTTTACATTGCTGTTGCAGATGAAATATAACACTGATAACTTTAAATAAATATTTTTTACCAGGTTAAATGTTGATTATTTGTAACTCAAACCCCTTTTTGTAAACCTCTCTACCTATCACATACTATTTAGGATGGATAGTATGAACATTGAGACGCAGGGCATGAGTTTCACTGTCCAGTCTATTCCTGATGGATAAAATCAGTTTATTTAAATTTAATTATGTAGTGTGTTATTAATTCCAGGTTAATTATTCAAATAATCAATAATAAAAATAAATGACAATGAATTCATTGGCCTTTCAATTCCTAAAGGATTAAATAAATGTAATTTATAAAAAAATTTTTATTCAGTTAATCAAACATTTATTCAATTACTAATCAATAATAAAAACTGACCGTGAATTGGATTGTACAGTCAATTCCTGTTGAATAAAGTTAATTAATTTCTATTTTTATTATTCAAATATGTAATGTAATTTAATATGAATGTATATGGAACGCAATATGTAAATTCAGTATTATTATTCAGTTAATAGAAAGTAATTTCATTACTCAACTAATCGATAATAAAAAATAACTCACAATGAATTTCATTAGCCAGGCAATTCCTGATGGATCAAATCAATTTATTAAATTCATTATTATAATGAATTATATAATAATAATAATAGTAGTTTTTTTTAATGATATTAATAATATTTATAATATAAATACTTTTACTTAATTTTTATTATTTATATATTAATTAATATTATTATTTAAATATTTAGATTCTGTTTAATTATTCAACAACTAATCTATAATAAAAATAATCAATTCCTTAATCAAACCAATTCCAATCCATTCCTTTTGGAAATTTTGTTAAAGCTGTTCATTTAATTATTTTCAATTTAATTATTCAAATATGTAGTTAATTTCAGTTCAGTTAATATTTTTAATTACTCAACAACTAATCCATAATGATTGAAACATTAATGAAACATTATCGATTGAATAAATAATTTACATTAAATCTTATTATAATGTACAAAATATTTTCTTTATTTGTAAATATAATTATATACATGTATATAAATAATGAAAGATTAAAAAAATACATATATATATATATATATATATATATATATATATATATAATTTA